ACTTTATACACAATATAATTTAAAATAACTTCACAACAAAAATACAAATATCAATCAAATCTTTGTTCATATCACATAAAAAAAACTTAAGCATTCTACTAAATGAATAAATTGTTCCAGCATTCTTAAGGTCACCAAGTACTGACTTTATTCTCATAATATTACAACTTTATTCTCATAATATTACAACTTTATTCACATATGACTTTATTTTAGTAATAATAATAAAAAATGTGTTATCTCCGTTGTAGATACTGGAGCTAAACCCAAATTATTGTTTTCTTTATTTACGTTTACCTTTTTAACTGTGAGTTTATTCTTCCAGTAAAAAGACGTGTAAACACTTCCCGAAGCATTTTAAGTCCGACATGAAACTGATCACCATGGTAACGGGGGAGCACGTGGTCACGCAAACCCACGTGAAGCCGACATCAGGCGAAGACTAGACCGTCTCATTTCACAGCAGTTTTGAGCATCCTACCCGGCCCAGCAAGGATGTGGCCTACGTGGCCCAGCTAGGCTGGGTCCTCATGAGGACCCAGCCCATGAATTGAGACACAGCCTTTGTGTTTGGAAGCGGGGGGTGGGGGGAAGGACCAGGGAGGAGGATTCAACCACTAGATGTCGCTGAAAACAACAAATGCTACAAACCGTGCCTTTAAAGATGTTATGCTGACGAAGACTGACATCTAGTGGTCAACTGGAGCAACAACAGAAGTGTGGAAAACTTTAAAATCCATGCTCTTATTTTGAAGGGAAGATGGTTCCTGTACTCTGTGCATTCGTTTCCCGTCACAAATCAAATCCGTCATGTACCCAGAATGTATCGCTCACTTTTCCAATAAAAGTTACTTTATTGATGCTTCTTTAATGAAAAATCTACAACAAACAAGAAAAAGACAAAGAAGCAGCCGAACTAACAATCCTCAACAACTTTTTAATTTTTACACCAGGAGCTAAAGGTCTGTTTCAGGAAATCACATCCCCAGCAATCAGCGGTTATAGGAATAAGCTGTAAAAGGATTCATACACCGCTAGTTGGCAGTGTTGTACATCTATTGTACATGATTTGTTACCAGCTACTAAGTGTCAAATTGAACTTGTGCTTAAAAATTAACATCCACTAGTTTTTCTATGACATAAGCGCTCTTGAAGTTGCGTACCTACCGGTAAATATTTTAAGCACTTTAGAAATAGTGGAGCTAATTTTTGGAGTAGCACTGCCCACCAGTGTTTGTTTGTAAAGTCTCACCTTGTTTACCTGAGTGTGCTGATGCTCCCCTGATGGTTTGTTTCTCAACTCTGCTGAACACTTGCACAGCTTGTTTTTCTGAATAATATATTAGTAGAGAATCCTCTTGCAGATACTGCTAAATAAAATAAACTGTTTCAAATAAAAACAACAATTAGAAACAATCTCAAGAAACTTTGAATTAAATCATGGTTGTTTTTATCAGCAGTCAGACAAACTGAGCTGACAGAACTTAGTTAAATAAATTCAACACTTCATTTTAGAGTGTAAACGTCTTTCACAATGAGTTCAAACAGATTTATATTTATCTTTGTGTAATTAAGTGTTACATCATAAAGTAAAAGCATCATTTTTATATGAATGCACCAAAATAAACGTTAAAAAAAACTACTTAGTAAAAACAAAAATCCACTAATAAATCACAAAGTAAATACTCAGTTACTATGTACTCTGAGTAGTGAGAGGATGTGGACCAGGTTTCATCCAGCAGCTAACAAACCCTGAGATAACACAGATACTCTGAATCAACCAACCACTCTGTGATACTCAGGATTTTCTGTTCCACAACAGCTGATATTAACGGGTTTGGTGAAGGGACAGACCCAGGGTGCAGGCAGGTTTCAAAAATGTAACAAAAAGATTTATTTAAATAACAAAAAGAGGGCTGGTGGCAGCAAACTTACAAGACTTGAAGATCACAGGCACGAGGGAGACAAAGCTCAAGGAACAAAGCACAGAGAACCAAAACAAACAATGATCCGACAAAAGACAGAGACAGGACAGGGCTTAAATACACTGACAACTAATGAGGGAACAGAAAACACCTGGGGAGAAACATAAGGGTAATCAGCAGTGTGATGTGGGGCAGCTGAGCAGAGACACACTGGGGAACATAGAAAACACTAGGAAAACTAAGGAGAATAAATACAGATTATGACAGATATGTACTGGGTAACTTAATCCTGAGTTAAGTTGGAGCAGGAAGCCCTCATCAATGGAAGTCAGATAACATGATTCACCATGGCAACAGGAGAAAATAAGACAGGAAGTCCATTTCTCTGTGCTGAAACTAAAATATTTTATGACATCATATAGAGAATATCAACTTATATTTAACATAATATAAATACAAAAACAAAACTGTTGCTGCTGCAGAGTCAGAGTTAATGAGGCAGAGCTTTGATGATCAAGTCAATGATTATGATTTTACATGAATCTCATCTTTGATTATTTATATTTTTAAGTGGATAAAAGTGAGTGTGTGTACATGTGTGTGTGTGTGTGTCTGTGTGTGTGTGTGTGCAGTCAGGTGCAGCTCAGTTCATACTAAACAGACATGGCAGCAAATAAAGATTAAATAAAAACAGTAAAATCAGGTAAAGTCAGGTATAAGCTCTTATGTTCAACATTTAACAAATAAATTACATCATTCACTGCTTCAACATATGAAATTAATGTGCCCCCCCAAAACAAAAATAAAAAAATACTATGCGTACTACTACATCTTCTCTCTGCCAGTATTTAATACAGTATTGTACAGTGTAAAGTAGCAGATAATGTTATTGTGTCTAATTAGTGATTAAGTCTGACCTCCATTTACTACAAACTGCACTTTAGTTTCATCAGAGGATGATGATGATGGTGATGAAGGTTTGTCATACGGAGAGGGAGCAGACCAGGTGCTCCATGATGATGTAATTTAAAGTTTTATTTTCTTTTCATTGTGAAGCAGAATGACTTAATTTTTACTAAAAACATCTGATGAACGATCAGCTGAAGACTCTTTACCTCTGGAGCTCAGATGTCTTCTGTAGGGGAGGTCGGGGACAGTTGCAACACTTACATTTGACTCTGTTCCTCAGAGATGGTTTGAATTAGACAAACCAAATTTTAACACAATAAACTCACATCTGTCTGTTAATAGTCAAAACCATTTATAGATGATTAAAACATTACATTCTTCATTATTTGTATTTGAAAATGAAAAGTCAGATGTTACAACTGACCCCGGGGCCGGGGACAGTTGTAACATTGTTTGGGGGTGGTTACAACATATTAATACATTTCACTGTAAAAAGTTTTATATTTATATTATTGCTAAATGAATAAAAACTGTAAGTTATAATGATATTACAGTGGGGACAGTTACAACTGTTKCAACTGTCCCCCTTCCTGTCAGCCATGATAAAACCTCATGTGTTAGCTAAATAAGCTCATCTGGATACATGTTAACTAGATTAGTTAAAAGTCAACAGAACACTTGTTTAAACCATAGAAGTTTGAGCTGGATCACAAAAACAGTGACAACAGTTTAACAAAAATAAAACTGGGTAAAAAAATACTTTGTTCCTCAAAAACTTTTCTTCAAATAAATCCTGGATCAGTTTTTGAATCTGTTGACTTTTTCTTTACAAGGTGGGACATCTAACTGAGCATATACAGTGTGAGTGTCATCACTCTATGTTTCTGTTTGGAGAAAAATGCTGTTGCAACCGTCCCTTGTTGCTACTGTCCCCAGTCTCCCCTAAAAACAAACTTTTTCAGAAGTTTATTAAAAAAAAAAACTAAATTTTATTTACAATAAAATTAATATATACTTTAAGAATTTAAACCTTTGATCATGACCTGACAAACTCAGGATTTGTGCTACAGAGCAGGGTTGGTTTACTCAGGATAACTGTTATCTGGCTTTTTGAACCCAAAACCCAGGATATGTACATATTTATCCAGAACTTAACTCAGATTATCTCATCCTGCTGTATGAAACAGCTCAGGTGAGGCCTGTGACTGAAGGAGAAGGTTCTTGTTGTTTTAAAGATACAAACTGTGTGAAGTGGGTGAAGTGGGCGTGACACAAGTTTAAGGTTTTTATAATGTGTAGCAGGGGACCAGAAGATCCCACAGAGACAAGACGACCAGTCCAGTCCTGGTCCTGCAGGTTTTAGTTCTGCAAAGTGAGGAGGAGAGAATGGCTGACAGAAAAATAATCTCAGAACAAACAAACAGATTCAGACGGTTGTAAGTCAGTGTGTTGTGCTGGTAGGACAGAAACATTCAGATGATTCATAAATGCAACAAAACTCAAGTTTTTCCAGTTTAATTCAGTTTCTTTATAAAACGAGTTTAAAATTAAATCACAGCAAAAACTGACGTTAGAAAACTGCAGAAATCCTGTCAGAGCGGTTTGAACTGACCCGTCCTGCTCTGTCAGGACGTTAAACTGGACCTCAGCTGGTGACGGGCTGTACTTCTCACCTGTTCTCTGCTCAGAACAAACCCAGAGGAGTCTGACAGCCACTGACAGGAGAAACACAGAAAACTGGCATCTGTACAGGTAAAATCACCTGTTTGTGTGTCAGAGCTCAGATTCAAACTTCATTATCAGAGAGACGTTTGTTTGTGGACCAACAGAACTGTAAACTAGTGATTTTATTTTTTAGTATCGTGTTTAGTAAAGAATGAGAAACATGAAATGCTTTGAATGTAGCTGAACTTTAAAGTCTAACGATCAGTTAAGGTTTGAAAGCAGCCTGAGAACAGGTAAGTTTACCTGCAGATGAACACTGTTGTGGAAACAGGGCCGGCCCGAGCCATTCTGGTGCCCTGGGCAAGTTGAAGCACCCCCCAGCTATGTCCCACCCACCCCGACTGAAACCCCTAAAAACAAGTCTGTTAAGTATGACAAACTTTGATTTATTTGCTTTAAACACAAATCACACGACAAATTAAATGAATAAAGTTAATATAATTAAATCAAACAGTAAATAAGAGACCGTGTTCACAATTTGTGCAAAGATTTAGAAGGTCCTCTTTTAATACAAGTCTGATTTTACCTGATAGGTCCTCTGCTGACAAACAGTCCTCACTGTGTCAGAATGATGTCATCAACAGGCTGCTTTGATGGACTCACAAAAATCTGGTGTGTTACAGAAGATGCAGTGTCCTCAGGATGTGTAACGGTCTGCTGGTTCCTTCAACTGGAAACAGAAAGATTACTTTAAATATTTCATTCTACTGTAAATACTACAAAAGTTAAACAATAAATAAAAACAAAAGCAATTTAATAAACTAATAATGCAACCCATTCTCACTCCCATGTCGTCACATATTGACGCTTTTCCAAGGTTCCCTCTACGTCCGATTTTGACGCGCCGGGTACCCCCGTCACGTCAGTTACTGACGAGATGGGGCGAAGTCTGTTGTCATATTTTCAGAAAGTGTAGAAAATGTGCAAAAAGTACCGTTTCGAAGCCTGAAATTACCTTTGTTCACTMTAGACATCCTGTCCCTGACCCTAGTACCTAAAATTAACCATTTTTAGAAAATGTAGGAAATTCACGTCAACATGTTCCGAAGCCTGAAATTACCTAATATTCACCATGGACATCCTACCCCTGATCCCAGTACCTAAACTTAACCATTAATCCTCAGACCCCCGACCCAAAGACCCCTGGTGGCGCAACCCGGAAAAGCTGCGGGTGTCAAGGACTGACGCGAGGGGGGTACCCGGCGCGTCAAAATCGGACGTAGAGGGAACCTTGGGAAAGCGTCAATATGTGACGAGTCGGGAGTGAGAATGTGTAGAATAATGACTTCATGCATCATGACAGTGACCAAGAGAAGCCAGATAACTGGCAGAGCCTACATTCTTCAGCAGCTGGTGAAGATGTGAGTGAAGGTCCTTCTGCATCAGCTACAGGCCTCTGCAAATATCTTTTCAGTGCATCTATCAAGAAAAACACAGAAGTTTACCTGCTACTGTCTGTACAGTACAAGCAACACAAGTAGCTGCCTGCAACAGGCAGTCTACAAAAATAGGCTGTAGTTGTGACAGGATTGGTGCCAAAAAGACCCAGAGCGCAGGAGAGGTTCAAAAACAAAACAAAAAGCTTTTAAAGAACTCAAAAACTCTGGCGAGGCAGCTCAAAAACACTTACAGGTTTCTTTTGGAGACACGGGCAGCAGGAGGACTGAACAAGGGACAAAACACAGGTTCAGAAAACAACAATCCAACAACACACAATGATAAGACCCAGAATATAAAGCAAACAAATTAAGAGTAAAGGAGAAACACCTGGGGAGACACAAGAGGAATCAGGTGTGTGTGGGCGGGGCTGGAGGTAAAACAGCAGGGAGAGGAAAACACAGGAACAGAAAAACACTGAGAAAATAAAGACAAAAACACAAATCATAACAAGTTGTGATTCTGTACTACTAAAATAAGTTACAACACTACACAGTAGCATATAGGCCACTTTAATTGTTTACCATAGTGTCAGAGCAGGGCGGGTCAGTGCAACGTCAACCAAATGAGAGAGAGGGTGGGGGCGATTGTTACATTGGGGGGAGAACATGTTTTATGGGTAGAGTAGTTTATTTTTCCTGTAATACTTCATTATAGGATTTTAAGACAAAGCTAATTGAAAGAGGCGCCGAGCAGAGATACAACCGAGGGTTACAAATATATATTTTTTCTGCTGCAGTTCGGCACCCCCTCCAGTAGATGGCGATCTAGGTGACCGCCTTATTCGCTCATGCCCAGAGCCGGTTCTGTGTGGAAATCTTTATTTTACCTAGACAGAAACACGAGATCCAAGAATAAAAGTACTCCGTGAAATGGTCAACAGGATTTATTGCGATTCAAGACACACATCATGTCACACAGGGCAGTGGTACAACATGTATACTCTGAGGCAGTTTCAAATACACACATTTAAACAGTTTGTTACCAGACAGACAACAAACACCTCTGTTGGTGCTGAAACTGGGCCAAGGAGAGACTGATGTTTGATAAACAGCAACAAGAATGTTTACTTCTAACATCTGATCTTAAAACACTTTGTCTGAGAGAAAACAAAAGATAAAGAGTAAAATCATAAAACATGATGACTTTTTAAAGTAAGTAAAAGAGGTCACTGACTCTTGGCCTGCAGAAATGTGGGACCTTAAAGGATCGTTTATTTTTCCAAGACAAACATGATGAACTCTGAAGCTCTCCACGACTGAACCTCAACTCCAGTTACGTGTCTTTATCCTCCACTGATGTTTAACTCAACACAGATTAAAACTTTCTCACGCTGACCGCTGCATCTCACCTGCCTGCAGGTGGAAACTCTCTTCATGTCAGACAGCGGGAGAAACGTGGGCGATGTTCAGAACCTGTTTCGGTTCCACAGAGGTGATGGTTCAGAGAAGACCAGGAAGTTCTACAACACCTGGGCAGAATCCTACGAAGAGGTCAGAAACCCTGAAGACCCCTGACTCTGGAGGTCCTTTAAAAGGGACACACCTGCAAAATCCACTTTTTCACCTGTTAAATACATTTAGTTGGACTTGGAGTCTCTTCGAGGCAGAAAAGTTGGGTTTAGACTGTCCTGGTGCTGCAGAGATCCTTTATTCTGTTTGGGTCAGATTTATCAGCCCGGTCAGTTTTCTGTGATGTTTTCTGAAATATTACATCAAATTATCTGAGACAGAATTACCATAGAAGATCTGGACCAACTGCAGTTTCCTTGTCTTAATTCTCTTCTGGTTCTGGATCAGACTCTGGTTCTGGATCAGACTCTGGTTCTAGATCAGACTCTGGCTCCAACATGTAAGGCTGGATAACCAAGTCTTCTGTTGTTCACATTTTTTCATTAAATTGTAAATAAAACGTTTTTGCAAGCTTACCCCTCCCTCTTTAAAGGATTTAAAAGCAGGAAATGTCTATTTTAAATTAAAACTAAAGCTGTCGTTTTAACAAAAACACTGTAATACACAGCCACACCACTAGGGGGCAGGACCACTAACAGGCTTCTCCCAAACCAGTTTCTGCTCTGTTTTAACCATTTGATCTCATGATGGAAGCCTGATGGTGACAGAACTGAGATAAAGTGAGGCAGACACAAAGAAAATGATAAAAAATGATCAAATGGTGTCTGTTTTAAGGCACAGAGTGATATTTATCACGTGCTAATAAAACAGGTGCTTTGAGGAACCAGTTCAGATAACATGGTAAGTTTGTAGAAACAACTCATTTCATGCTGAGTTCCTGTCTTATTTAAACCTGTAACATGGAACTAGGTGTTTGATTTTAAACAAGTAAAAGAATCATCTTACAA